AATCACAGAGTCGGAAGGGGCCTCTGAGGCCATCAAGTCCAACCCCAGGCTTGATGCAGGAATCCAGACCAAAGCAGATCTGACAGACTGTTATCCAATTTTGCCTTGAATGCCTCCACTGCTGGAGCACACACCAGCTCCTGAGTTAATGGGTTCCACTGTCATACTGCTCTAACAGATAAGAAGTTTTTCCTGATACTCAGTCTAAATCTGGCTTCCTGTAACTGGAGCCCATTATTATATGTCCTGCACTTGGGGATTATTGAGAGCAGATCCTGCCCCTCCTCTGAATGACTACCTTTCAAATATTTGAAAAGCACTATCCTATTTCCCCTCTGTCTTCTTTTCTCATGGTTAACCAGGCCTAGTTCTTTCAGTCTTTCCTTCTAGGCCTTGGGTTCCAGTCCCCTGATGAAATGAGCGGGAGCTGGATGCAGGGAATGTTAAGAAGTGACTGTGCTGCCTTCAGCCTGTTTCAGAAGTACCATATTTTTTCCATGTATAAGACTTTTCTAATCCAAAATTAAGAAATCTAAGTGGGGCTTAGTAAGTGCAAGGGGAAAGGGATCAAAGTGCTGCAGGATCGCTTTGATCCCTGCTTTCCCCTCCACTTGTTTTTGTGCTCTCCTCACCTTCTTCTGTGTATAAGACGACCGTCAATTTTTAGTTTAAAGATTTTAGACAAAAGTATAGTCTTAAACATGGAAAAATATGGTAATCTGACGTTGCCAGATTATCTTTGGAGGGATGTTCACTGGAGAGTCCAGATTTGAAACGCATCACCAGATTATCTTTGCAGTGATGTTCACTGGAGAGTCCAGATTTGAAACTGATTGTGCCCTCATGCGATATGCTCAGCCCCTGCTGAGGCCCTGTTACCCTCAGTAACTTAAGCAAAGGAGTAGATGGAATATCTTGAGGGATTCCAAGAAGCAAATCTGCAGGGATGTCATATGTAGGAATGGAACTACAATCCGGAAGAAGAAGGGAGCTGCATGTTTCAAAACACGGAGGGCTGTTTAAACATTAAATGTGTGTGTGTGTGTGTGTGTGCGTGCATATGTGTGTGTGTGTGTGCGGGTAGCTCTCTCAGATCCATGATGTATGGACAGAGAGAGTAGCTAAGAATGAAAGACTCAAAACACCTTCCTCAAATATGCACCCGCTCTCTGGTTGTCATCCTGCCCTTGACTAAAATCAAGGAAGGGTCCCACCCCACCCCAAGAACATCTGTGAATACTAAAAGCAACAGCAGAGAATGCCTAGGCGGTGAAAGGTGGAAAACAAGAGGTGCTAATGGGGTTTTCACACCAACACAGCTCTCTGTGGGTATGGACGAGAAGAGGCAAGTTCGCATCTATGCTGGCGTGCTCTATGCTTTTCGACATGTACCACAGAAGATATGATGCTTGCTGCTTTGAATGCTCTTGAGGTTGCCCGCAATTGGGCAAAAAAATATCTGACATAAGCTTTACAGTGGGGTGGGGTTAAAGCAATTTGTATTTTGTATGTGCTTATATACAGACCACTGCCTAATTTTATGTTGATTCGAAGAGCTGTACTGTGGTGCTTCTGATACAAATAAAGAAAATAAGACTTTCTAAAACGATAAAAGACACACACCCCTCAGTGGCTCCAGCAGTTGGTTGCCTACCCTCTATATTACAAATTAGCTTGTTTTTATTTTGTCCTCAAAAGGCAGACATGGTGTTAATTCGGTAGTCTGATGATGGTCGGAAGGAACTGCGTGCCTGGGAGGAAAATGCAGTAATAGCAGGAAACACGCAGGGTGATTGGACCCTGGCTTACCACAGATCAAGGAATCTAACACTAATCTCTGGAAGTGGCCAGTACTGATGCCGAAAGACCACCACAAAAGGCAACCAATTAATACTCGAGTTGCAGAGCCGACAAACTCTGAAACCAAAAGATAAATAATGAGGACGGCTCTAGCCAAGGCTCAGCAAACAGTCTGAAAGCTTTATATCTATCTATGTATTTTTTCTATTTTTCCTTTTCCACTCCATGTCTCCTCTTTCTTGGTCATTAGGGATCCTGCCACACACATACACTGCCCTTTCAATACTGAGTTAACATTCTAAATGTGCTCGTTGAACTGTGTTTCCGAGAGATCTCTGCGATGCGTTTCCCCCCTCCACCACCACCAAATACCCTTCCGTGTTTCTGCAAATCTTACGGGTCCCCCAGTCTTCTAATAAAGCTCACTTGCAGCTTTGCCATATTGGCCAATATCGAGAGAAGCGGAACAATATTATAAACTGATGCTATTCAAGTCATGCTAAGCAGAGGGGATTGGCAGGTATTTTAGACATCTGGTTGCCATGGAGTTATGACAGCCTCTTCAAGTGGAGAACGGTAATGGAATTGCAACCCACAGACAGCAATATGGTTGGGAAGGGAGGAGCTTATGGTGCCAACTCTACAGCAAACTCACCTGTCCAAAAAGCACAGGTCCCCAAAAATAACCGTATCGTGCACAGCCTAGACACCCTATTCACTTATAACAAACATTTTCTAACAGACAACAATAACATGGGAAATGGTTTCGCTCCTCAATTGGTTGAGAATATGGAGAGAATGACAATAACAATGTCAAATTCCTGCACTAGCTCGTTAGGGTGAAGTCAGTCTTGAGACTGGGAGGCAAATGAAGTCAGACCTTATTTACTAACAATCAGGATTGAGAGATTGATTATTTCAGGGCTGCTATCCTCAGATGATGGCTCCCACTTAGGGGTATCATCCTCCCCAGGCTGAGCTAGGCAAGGAATTGCTACTGGGAAAAGCAACGGGACATCTGATCCCTGGAAGGCAATGGGGACCCATTCGGATTCCGGAATAACTAACTTCTGTCCTCTCACACTAAAAGATCTCTTTGCAAATACAGTTGCTGAGGCCCATCAGCTGCTCTGCATGAATCAGAACTTGAATTGCAGATACAAAAATCCATTACAGAGGAATTGAACCTTCTAATAAATTATCTGGAGAACCCCACCTGGATCCATTCAGAGCCTTCTTGGCCTGGTGGGACAAACTTTGTTTAGGTGAGTGTTTGCGGCTGTTTCTTGAAGGTTCTGGTTCCATGCAGAAATACACTAACCAGACGGTTAGTGTATTTTACGATCCCCTTTTTCCCCATGTGGGAAACTGCTCGGCTGTAACGGAGATGCAGCGGTTTTTAAAAGCCTCAAATTCCATGCCAAGAAAAAGCTGTTTCTGCCGTCTTCGCAACCTGCATATATTATGCAAATTAAGGATATACGGCCTATTCTTCCATGATTTATTCTCCTTCCGTTCACTATGAGGAGGAAGAAAGAACGATGCACACACTGAAGACTAATCCGCCACTGCAGGAAATCCAAGCCAGCTCCAAGAGTAGAGGACATATACACAACCCTTGTTTTGCAAGCAGCTGCACCTTTTCCAGGCCTGTGCAAGGATACACCGGACTTCACTGCACAAACAGTTCTTTCCAATTGCTTTCTACTCATGATACCCTCCTTGGTGGATGTAAGAGGCCCTATTACACACTTGGGAGCCACTCGTGTGCAGCTCTACTCGCCCATGAGCCAAAATATCTAGCAACTGGCCCACAGAGAGTTCTTTACTTTACTTTTACTTTACTTTAATTAGATTTATACCTCGCCCCTCTAGACCAGGTCTACTCGTTCTGGAAGCTCCGCTAAAGAGAAGCACACATTTGCACACCTCTGGCTGGAATACTGCATCTCCCTTCTTGAAAGGAGTCAGGGATGTTTTTCCTTGATGAGCATTATGTTAGATCTTGGCCTCAGTTTGCTTTCAGATCCCACCAAGCTTTGTCATTACGCCTTAGTTTTAGGGAAAACTTTCTTTTTCTAAAAAGAAAGATGTGATATCTTAAGACGCTGATCTCTGAAGCACAATGCAGTTTCCCTTTGCTGATACGATCCCAACTTTTGGGACGCATTAACTAGAAAGAACACTGGATATGTGACCTTCCTTTAATTTCAGAAGTTGCACAGTTTACTTCTGCAAGACTCTGCAGAATGATTCCTGTTCCTCTTTACAGCACAGTAGGACCCCCATATCCACAGGATCAATATCCACAGTTTCACTTATCCACAATCTGAAAGTATTAAAAATATTTTTTTTTAAAAAAACCCTTAGAAACAATGTATTTTCATGATGTATTTGCTAGATCTGGCCACTAGAGGGAGACAGATAGCATGCTATGTAATCTTGTCCTTGAAGGCTACATAGATGGTCTCTGGCTCCCTCTAGTTGCCAGTTCTAATAATACAGTGGTGCCTCGCTTAGCGATGTTAATCGGTGCAGCAAAAATCGCCGCCAACCGAAAACATCACTAAGCGATTTTTAAAAGCCCATAGGAATGCATTGAAACCCCTTCAATGCATTCCTATGGGCAAAAAAGTTACCTTTAAGTGAAAATCCTCCATACGGTGGCCATTTTCGCTGCCCGGTATGTGAGGAATCCATGTTTTTTACCTGGCGGCCATTTTGGAACCGCTGATCAGCTGTTGGGAAAACATCGCTATGCGGAAATTGGTAAGCAAAACAGCTTACCGATCATCGCAAAGCAATATTTTCCCATCTAAATCATCGCAATGTGATCGCTTTTGCGATTGCAAAAACCAAATTGCTATGCGATTTCGTCGTTAACTGGGGCGCTCGTTAAGTGAGGCACCACTGTATATGAGAAAATGCATTTTTTTCTGGATTTTTTTCTTTTACCATGCTATTTTATGGCATTTGCTATTATCCGCAGTTATAAACCTCCATGAGGGTGGCCTGGAAGCAATCCTTCACAGATATGGAGATCCTATCGAATTTTGATATTTGTCCTTAAAACTCTCAAATCACCTTTCTGGCACGACAGTGTTTCTACATCTTACATATCTTCTTGTTGTACATGATTCATAACTCATTGAGACATGCTGGTTCTCTGCTCCTGGAAGCACAAAACAGAAAAGACTTACCCTCCATTGAACGGATTCTCTCCTGGAATGACGTGCGTGCTGTCCTTGCCGACTAGAAACTTGATCCGATCGTAGAAAGAGTAAAGGTTCTGTTGGGTCACTGGAGGCTGGATCTCCTGTATGATGTCAAGGGGATCTGGAGAGCCCAAGCAGAGGGTGTTGGTATAGCACAGAGGCTGAAGGCAACAGTCTGGATCCATGCAGTCCACCAATCCATCTGTGGATTAGACAGGCAAGAAAAGGGACAAATTGAGCAGACCTTCTACAGGTGCAAGAAACAACCGTAGAGGGCAGTGTGAGATTCAAAATACAATAATATCTCACCATTCAGAATGCATTCTAAAAGAAGGGAGTGCTAAGCACACCCGTGTTAAATGAGGTTATTCAACAAACCAGCATAGAGCAGGTAGACCAGCTCACCGGTCTACCAGGGCCCTGATCTAACCTCTTGAGGCCAACGTCCAGCATCACAAGCTGAGCATGCATGGTGCAGCAAATCAGCCCTAAACGGGGCAGCACAGTGCAAAGTATTGTTGTAGCTTTAACATTATTAGTATCTTACTTCATTTTGATTTTAAATATAGGAGTTTTTAGTGGCTGTATGCCGCCTTGAGTTTCTTTATTGGGAAACAAGTGTATTCCTTTCCTCTCTATGTCTTTCTCTCTGCTGCTCATTTTTACATATCTTTATTAAGGAGTTGTCAATACAAAAACGACTGGTTAACTAACATTTTCCCCAACCTGAGTGGATCATAATCCATCAAAAGGTCAGGATTACCATAGTTTTATTTTTGCTTGCGTCCTAAAAGGATGAAAATAATATTCTGTGTCAATTGTTAAGAGGACAATAATTCTCTAAAAATAAAAGGAATCTAACTTTATACTGTGAATTATTTTTCATACAGTACAGTGGTGCCTCGAATAGTGATGTTAATGCGTTCTGCAAAAAACATCGCTAATCGATTTCATCGCTATTCGAAATGCAGCTTCTCACTGAAATGCATTGAAAGCCGGCTAATCCGTTCCATTTGGAACGAATTGCCACCACTAATGGAAAATCTCCATAGGAAACATCGCTATTCAAAACGCGGTTCCCCCATTGAAATGCATTGAAACCTATTCAATGCATCTCAGTGGGGGAGTTTTTTTATCTAAAGGAGGGAAACCGAGAAGGGGGGGGGAGTTGGCGGTGCCGGGGAAGCCGCAATGTCTGTTGCTTGGAAGGGGGTTGTGGTGGATCACTCCCGAAAAGCAGGATCCGGCCTGAAGAGGCAGCCGGGCCGGGTGTGTCGCTGGTTTGCCTTTCGCCGCCCAACCAAGGCACCTCCCAGCCTCTTCTTTCCTGCTCTCCTGCGGGCTGAGTTCACCGCTTTTCGCCCGGGCTGGGTGCCTGCCCGCTTGCCCCTCCCCGCGGGCTGCCCTGCCAGCAACTTCCCCACGCCAGGAGTTCCACCGGGTCGCCTCTGGGGAATCCCAAGCAGGCGCCGGGTGGCATCTGCACCCCCTCCCCGCAACCTGCACCGCACACCCTGTGCAGGAAAGAGGCCTCTGCGGATGCACCTACCGGGGCAGTGCGGAGCAGCAAGGAGGGCTCCGGCGCAGATGCTTGCTCACAGCGATGCGGCTCAGCTCAGCAGCCCAGCCCCATCCCGCCCGCATGATTTCAGCCTGTGTCCAGTGGGAGGACAAGGCGAGTGGGAAGGGCTCGCCTGTGGCTTGGTCACAGGGCTGGCCAGCCCACCCGCCCACTTACCCGCCTGCCAGCGAACACGGGGCTGTTTAAACCATCGCTAATAGAAAATCGCCCATAGGAAACATCGCTATTCAAAGTGAAAAAAAGCCCTGAAAAACTAATCGCTATTCGGTTTCATCGTTATTCGAGGCACCACTGTAGTTTCAATTACCATTCCATTCCATAGTTATGCTTATAAGGTAAAGGTTCCGCTTGACATTTTAGGCAGTCGTGTTCGATTCTAGGGGGCGGTGCTCATCCCCGCTTCCAAGCCGTAGAGCCAGCGTTTGTCCGAAGACAGTTTCTGTTGTCACATGGCCAGCGCGACTTAGACCCAGAACGCTGTTTACCTTCCCACCAAGGTGGTACCTATTTATCTACTCGCATTTGCATGCTTTTGAACTGCTAGGTTGGCGAGAAGCTGGGAGAAAGCGACGGGAGCTCACTCCGTCGCGTGGATTTGATCTTACGACTGCTGGTCTTCTGACCCTGCAGCACACAAAGGCTTCATCAGTTTAGCCCGCAGCACCACCACGTCCCAAGGCGGCGCCACCACGTCCCAAGAGTTATGCTTATAGATTGTATTTATTGACTGTTATTTGTAGGGCACCCTTTCGATGGATCTCTAAGTCTGCTAACATCCATGCCTCCCTCGTAATTTTGTGTGGAAATTCGAGACAACCAGGGGAAGGAATGCCTAGGGATGGCCCAAGATAATTTGATGCCTGAGGTGAAGAAACAAAATGGCACACACACAGCCTTGTGTTCCATGCACAAACGCTAAGCAAACTGCTAGTTGACTCTGTCTTCACCTGTCTTCCATGTTATCTTCCATTGCCCCTAAAGGACACGGGCTATTTTATGGAATGCAGGACACATCCCGCATCACACCCTTCCCTCTTTAAGGATCTTCCCTCTTTAAGGATCTTTAAGGATCTTGTTGCCACTCCTTGGCATTTGTGGTCTGAAGCTAACACCCCCCCTCAGCATCATGGCAGGGCCGGCTCTGATAACAGTACGTAACTCTACAAACAAGATTGTTCAGAAAATCCACCCCAAAACCTGACCGGATGACAAAACAGAATTTAAAAAATAATAGCGCCAGAGATTTGAGAGGGAGCGTGGCCAGGTCAGAATGGATAAACCAGGGATAGGGTTTTGTGTCTTTTTTTTTGTTTCCCCCTTTTTTCATGGCCTTAGATTAAGACTGCAAGGAAGGAAACGAGACTGTGCGTGGCTACCGGCGTGCGTTTCAAGGGAAAACCATGAGCAGAGCATCTGGAATGAGGTATGGATGCTGCAGAACTAACCTTTCACCTAATCTTTCTTTCTGTCCTGGCATAAAAGAGGTTTATTTTCTTCTTCTTTTTTCTTTATCCTGATCAGGTGTAAGTATGATAAAGGGTCTTTGCCACTGACATCTCTAAAGCTCTTAAAATCTCTGAAAGGGGATCCGGGATTCAACCCCTCATCTCTCCTTGACTTTTAATGGGTGTTATAGGATTACCTCTCTTCGGCTCAGGAAAATTTGTGAGCTGCTTATGCCGTGCAGATTCAACACACACTTCAACACACTCACACACACACACACCACTTAAAGCTCAGGACGACGAAGAGATTCATAATTAGGGATGCTGCCAAAATGTACAGGATTGCGCTTTACGAGAAGTATATAGGATGGTACTGCAAAATCATTTTTTTTAAAAAAGCTAGTTAATTTGTTTGAGGTTTAATCAATCTGTAAATCAAATCTTTTCCATCTGGAACTCTTGAATGCACAAGTCCGGAATCGGAATAGAATTCAAACTGAGTTAGTTCATTGGAAAAAGCTTTTCCAACAAGCTTAGAAGCATAGCTTTTCCTTCATTCTTTCAACATCCCCCCACTATTTGTGTCCTGTGCCATCAAGCTGGAACATGGTGACCTTAGTAGGCCTGTCAAGAAGTGATTTTACCACTCTCTCTTTAAATTTCCATGGTTATGTGGGAAGTTGATCCTTAGGTTCTCTGAGTTCAAAGGTAAAGGTTCCTCTTGACATTGTGTCCAGTAGTGTCCTGACTCTAGAGTGTGGTGCTCATCCCCATTTCCATGCCTTAGAGCCAGCCTTTGTCCGTAGACAGTTTCCGTGGTCACATGGCCAGCATGACTTAGACATGGAACACTGTTAACTTTCCCACCAAGGTGGTACCTATTTATCTACTTGCATTTACATGCTTTCGAACTGCTAGGTTGGCGGGAGCTGGGACAGGCGACGGGTGCTCACTCCGTCGCGTGGATTCGATCTTACGACGGCTGGTCTTCCGACCCTGCAGCACAGAGGCTTCTGAGGTTTAACCCGCAGCGCCACCACGTCCCTCGCTCTCTGAGTTCTAGTCAATCACTATACATGCTGGGTATGACCTCAATGATCCTGGAATCAGAAAAGTGGCCCTTGGGCCATCAAAGGTGGACACCCCTCTTATGCCACCATCTTCAGGGACCTATCAGCTTTCCAAATGGACTCAGAGTTATCCTTGAAGATCACATCGGTAGGTACTTTACAACAAAGCACAGAATGAGCTGTGTCCTGAATGCACAACCAGCCACGAACTGTGTCTGCAGAACTCCTTCATGGATCAGACTTCCACCTTGATGCAAATCTTGCAGCATCTTTTCCAACTTCAAGTGGTGCAGGCAGAGCTGTGCAACCAGGTTTCACCCATTTTATAAATCTCAATTACAACGACTAAGCCGTACGTCAGATCACTACTGTAATGGATCAAGAAATAACTTTACATTTTCCCCAGTATAAGTGTATTTTTAATAAACACTTACAGGTATCTCATAAACACTTTCAATGTCAAGTATAAATTATGTGCATGGGAGGTTCCCAGTAAAGCCCCACATTAGTCTTGAAACAGATACAATACTGACGAGGAGATACTGCAACATGAAAGATCTGTGCGTTATTTTTTTTTCCTTATTCACAAAAGCAGAGTTTACCACCTAGATCTTTATATGTGACACATCTGGGGTGCAAAATAGTACTGCTGTCTTGAGTCAGCTATAAGTATAAGACAAGAGGGGGGTGTTTAGTTTCATGAGAGCAGGGGAAAAAGTGCCCTTTGTTTTACAGTTTGTAAATTTTTTCAAGTGTGTGTGTGTGTGTGTTATTTCTCTTAGCCCCACCCAGTTTCCAAATCTTTTTCCAAGGGTAGTAATTTGGGCCATTTAGCACACCAGATGTGCAAAACTATCTTAAGCATTCTATAAAAACTCACAAGCTCTGATCCCTCTGAAACAGATAACCTCAGGCTTGGTTTATTGTTTTGTAATCTGAACTTGGAGCAGAGCTGCTCTTGTAACATGAGCGGATATGGGATGCAGGCACTTCTTGGCTGTCTTAAGTACCTGTGGGGGGGGGGAACGGGAGTGGAGAGGAACACTGTGGCTTTAAATAACCAAATTGCACATTCTTCTGTCTGGCGGGAGCTGGGACAGACCTC